TGGGTTTTGTTAAGATAAGGACTTTTAAAAACTTGTTTTTTTTATGAAGTAACAGCAGTAAAAAATTTACCTAAAAATGTTTATGTTTATACACACCCCTTAAATTAGACTTGCCAGGAATAATAATTTTAGCATATAATGTTAAAATGTAGTATGAAGTTGTCACAGATTTTGTTATTCATATGCAGTTTTGTCCCACATAAAAGCAATTACATTAAAACAATTACCATGAGTACATGTAACACAGCCAGAGTACACTTCTTAGGAAAAACAAAGTAGAAAGCTTCTGTCTCTGTAAACTAAAGATATTAGAAAGACCCAGTAAAGGATAAAATACCAAAAGTAAAGCGTGGTATAAAGAATTAGATTGTTGGGGTTGGAGAGATGGTTCAGCAGTTAAGAGCACTAACTGCTCTTGCAGAGGACCTGGGTTTGATTCTTAGCACCTACATGGTGGATAACAATCAGTTCCAGGGGATCCGACACCTTCTGACCTCTGCAGGCACTGCATGACACAGATACTCTTACACACATGCAGGCAATACATTCGTACACACAAAATAAAAATACATAACATATAAAAGAAGAATTAGATTGTTATCTTTTCCTATTTAAGAGTTAACCAGCAGAGTCATCTTTACAGATGGGAATTTTTAATATAGTACAGGATCTCTTTTCCTTATAGAGTTTATCCTAAAACAGGCTATAACAATCTTTTCCTTTGATAGAAAATTTTGTTCTGCTTTGAGATAAAGAAGGAAGAGGGAGGTCAGAGGAGGATAGATGCAAGTAGATAATTTAGAATTGATATAATCTCCAAATTTTTCTTATTTCCTTTTTCTTTTCTTTTTTTTTTTTTTTTTTCCTTGAGACAAGGCTTACTATGTAGCTCTGGCCAACCTGGAACTCGCTATGTAGTCCAAGTTGGTCTTGAACTCAGAGATCTGCCTGCCTTTGCCTTCTGAGTGCTTGGATTGAAGAGAGTGTACAACCACACCTGGTCACCTGGCACTTCCATTCATTTTTAACATCTCTTTCAAACTTGGATGTAGCTTTAAGAACTCTTGTTAATCAATCTTCGTTAAGTTACCAATTTTAACATTTTCTCTCTATATGCTTTAAGTTTTCAATTAAACAGACTGCACATCCATGACCTTTAATTCTATTGCCTGGGTCTTGCAATTTAGTGAACAAAGCAATTTAAGATGGCTCAGTGGTTAAGAGCACTGGCTGCTCTTGCAAAGGATGGGGGTTCAGTTCCCAGCACCCACAGAGCAGCTAACTACCATTTGTAACTCCAGTTCCAAGGATCCAACACCTTCTTCTGGCCCCGTGGGTACTGCACATATGTGATATACTTACAAGTAGGAAGACAGGGGCTGGAGAGATGGCTCAGTGGTTAAGAGCACTGACTACTCTTGCAGAGGACCCGGGTTCGATGCCCAGCACCCACATGATGGCTATGAACTGTCCTTAACTCCAGTTCCAGGGGAATCCGATGCCCTCTTCTGACCTCCACGGCTTTGCATGACACGGGTGCACTCACACACTCAGGCAATACACTCATACACCTAAAATTAAAGTAATAAATAAAATATTAAAAAAAGAAAAAACACTCATATACATAAAATTAAAAAAAATAAGTTTAAAAAAATCAAGTGTTTCCCATTGAGGGACGCATAAAACGATTATCTTCAGTTAGATTTTCCCATTTTTCTCAAGTACTTGCAAGTTAAATTTAAATTAACACAATCATCAAGCATAAAACCAGCTGGAGAACCAAATGGCAGTTTTTTGCCAAACATCAACTTCATTGAGTTAGATATTGAAAGAGTGGTAGGAGAAAAAGACCAAATGTTAAACAAGTTAACAAACTGGTCTGAAAGCAACCAAAAACAAAAACAAATTGGTCAGAAACCAAAATGTGTTAAAAACAAACAAACAAAATGTATACCTTAAAACAACCCAAAATACTTCAAAAGCAAAGCAAAAAGGGTATTCAAACAACTAGAATCCTAATAAGCAGCTCACAATAAACCAGTGAGTCATCAACCAAACCAATGGACATCTGGATCCCAGAAAGAACGTACCATCCGCCTGTGAATACACTTGTCAGTTGGGCACTAGGGGTTGGTGCTGGTACCTGGTGCCAATCCAAGTAACTCCTCCAGTAAAAGTGAATAAGCCTTGGGACTCCACAGTCAGAGGCCAAAAGTTAACACAAAAATACAGCTCTTACCTCAAAGATAGTAAGAGATGATTTATTTTGAAGCCGATAGGCGTAACCATGCTCGGGAAACAGAGTGAGGTGGCCCTGAATAGCACATTCCAATGTGATAGCAATTTCATGAAGTTTTTATAGTAACAGAACAAGAAAGCTATAAATCAAGGCATTTAAAAAAATACATTGATGGAAAGATTAAGATTACAGCAAAGCAGGGAAATCTCTATTATAGGCCTTAGATGTTATCTGATGATATTGTTAGCTTTTGAGTTGATGAAAACTAGGATATCACATGATAGAAAACTGTTAGGTCAAACACAGGGCCACGCAAGAAATGGCTATTGAGAGAACTAAAGATAGTCCAATATAATTTGACTTCCATTCTGTAACATTCCAGTTCCCCACAACTGCTGACGTTTGAGTCAATCAATCAGACCTGTAGAATATTTAATAAACCTGCAACTTTTTTTTTTAAATGAGAACTTCAGTTTCTGCTATAAACCAAGAATTCTGTATCTGGCAAATATGAAGAAAGTAAGAAATTGTCAAAAAAACAAGAGAAAAAGGATTTTGAGAGTAGGTCTGTTCCACAGTAAATGCCAAAAAGGAGTTGGCTGCAGTGGCATAGCCTATAATCTCAGCACTTGGGAGGCTGAGGCAGGAGGATCATGAGTCAAGGCTAACTGGACTACATAGCAAGACTCTGTGTGAGGTCCAAGCTTTGTAGCCGTGAAAGGAGGAGGGTCATGGAAGGCCAGGAGACCCCAGAATAGATTCAACCGTGTTCCAAAAATGGTCTTGATTCTTGCCCAAAGTTGGCTCTTTTGTGCCCTCACCCCCACCTCCTGTGGGAGGACCCTCCTCTGGGAGGAATTTCAAATTTCCTGCCCTTGTTCTACCCATTCAGCTCCTGCTTTCATATGAATGAACAAACCAACAACATGCATCCTACCATGTCCAATCCAAAAGAGGAAAGGGGGTCCAGCCCTGTCATACCTCCTACCCTATAGAATATAAAAGTCTAAGGCCGGGGGTTATGGTAGATGGTGCTCTAGCTCTGGGAGTCTGTCTCTTTGCTGTGTGGATGTTGCTTGTGCTTTAATAAACCTTGGCTGTGTGCTGTGACTGCAAGCCTCTCTTCTTGTCATTCTTTACCTGGTGAAGAAAAGGACCCAAGAACAGACTTAGCTTCTCTAAGCAGGCAACTTGGGCAGTCACCCAGGCACATGCTGGCACACACAGGCCGCACAGAAGCTGGCTGGCAAAGGTGGAAGCCTAAGACATTTGCTTCTGACCTCAATACCACTTTTATACAAAAATCACACAAAAGTGGAATTTTGCCAGGAATAGTTACATAACAAATGACATCACTGTTTGATTTTGGGTTCCTTGGACATCTGGTGTCACCACCATTAAGCTGACTCATGGTCCCCTGGATGTCCAGTGCGAGCCATGTTTTAGCTGATCCATATCCATATCAGCGCCATGTTGTCTAAACATAAACTGGCCCTTATGGCTTTCTGTTCCTTTTACCCTATCTTAAGAAAACAGCAGGCTGAGAAGTATATTGTTCAGTAGTAGAGCACTTGCCTAATATGCATGAAGACCTGAGTTTGATCCTTAGCACTATACACAGGCAAACAAACAAACTAGAAACGCCTAAGGGAATCTTTCAGGCTGGAATGAAAGAACTCAAAGAAGGCGGAGTAGAGGGGAACAGCACCTTTCTCCTGTCCTACAAATTTGAAAGAAAGCATCAGATCCGTGACTCCAACAAGAGACAAGAAGCACAGAATGTTAGGTAGCTAGTAACACACAGATGGGCTTGGAGGTCACTGAGGACGGATAGTCCTACTCCACAGTGAGTTTGGACCCTATACCTTCTATTTCCCTGGTAACACAGTCATTTTAAAGATGGAAAACATATTACAGTTGCCCCTCCTTTGAAAGTGAACTACCACATAAAAAGAGGAAAGAACCATTACAATCGTCCTTCCTCAATATTTAAAAAATACTGTTTGAGAAGGAGGAGGTAGCTGAGCTTTGTTGAGGTTTATTAAGGAAACCTACTTCCTGGGAAACCATGACTATTTTAGACATTAAGAAAAATTCTGGGATTTTTTTTCATGTGTTTGTGTGTGGTGTGTATATGTGTGCATGGACATGTCTATAGAGGTGAGAGGTTGATGTTAAATGTCTTCCTTGATCCTTCTTCACCTTATCTATTGAAGCACAGTCTCTCACTGAACCCAGATCTCACCAGCTTGATCCAGGGAACCCATCTCTGTTTCCTGACTGGGATTACAGGCAGGCTTCCATGTCCAGTTGGTATTTACAGGAGTTCAGGGGCTCCAAATTCAGGTATAGCAAATACTTTACCCATGAGTTATCTCCCAAGTCCTAAAATTCTTTCTAATGTACTCTGTTACATGATTTTTTAAAAATCAAAATAGACTTGAGTTCTGATTCTAGCCCTAGGTGGAGGCAAGATGTTCCAAACTGCCAGGGAAAGATTGTAAGATACTATTGGCCCCTCCCTTAAAAGTTAATAAAAATTGGGGGCTGGAGAGATGGTTCAGTGGTTACGAGCACTGACTGTTCTTGCAGAAGACCTGGGTTCAAATCCCAGCACCCACATGGAAGCTAACAACTATCCATAACTCCAGTTCCAGGGGATTTGATGCCTTCTTCTGACCTCTGTGGGAGGACAGAAGGTGCACTTACATACATGCCGGCAATACACTCATACACATAAAACAAAAATAATAAATAATAAATACTTACCTGGCAGGGGAGACACCATGATCAGGAAGGTGGTTTTCCCAGGGCGAGGCTCATCCATTGCACTTAGGATGTGCTGACCCCTGTGATTTCCCCAAATGCGGAAACTCGACTGCATAGTTTGTGGTAGTGGGGGACTGCATTCGTGCGCTCTCCTATTAAAAAAATAAATAAATTTTTTTTAATTTAATAATAATTGACCTGTGGGAATTTCTGAGTCTGTGTCACTTTACTTAGTATAACAGTCTCTAGTTCCATCCCTTTACCTGCAAATTTCATATTTTTTCTTTTCTGAGTAGAATTCCATTGTATAAATGTACCACATTTTCATTATCTGTTCATCAGCTGAGGCACATTTAGGTTATAATTTCTTATCTATTGTGAAAAGAGCAGCAACAAACATGATTGAGCAAGAATCTCTGTAGTAAGATTAGTCCTTTGAGTGTATGCCAAGGAGTGGTATAACCAGATCATATGGTAGATTTGTGTTGGGAAGGGGAAAGACAGTGTTTTTCAGGGCTGGGACCTAGTGGACCTAGTGAATGGATCCACACTGAAGGACATTTGGGGACACAGCTCCTACTCTATAGGATGTATATGTGAGCTTATTAAATTGGGCAGGGGGCAGTGGAGGGAAGGTGGGGAGAGGAGAGTGGATCTAAATGCCATCAAACTATATAGTATGAAAAATCTCGAAAATTAATTTAAAAAAAGCAATAAAAAGGGCCAGTTTATCATTTGGTCAGGAAAATATCCCTCGAAAGGTATAGCTTCAAGAAACATGATAAATCTGAAGACATGTTAAGATCAGAGGACTAGCTATCCCCTCAATGAAATGGATACTTATATACCTCATAGGCTCACCCTTGATGCTGTTGCTTATAGGTACTCACTGCTAAAGCTGCTCAACTCAGAAAGTGTGAATATTTCATTTTCTTCTTCTATCTTCTTTTTCAGATACTGGCCCAAGCTCTAAGGCTGCTTTCCAATTCTAGGAATTCCTACTCTGTCTGAAGACACTCCCCACCCAAAGCAATTGGTCACAGACTTGCGTTGTTGAGTCTGCCTGCTTTCCTGACCTTGACCTTCAAAAAACATAACTTTCCCTCTTGTCTTATTCATCTCCCAGCTTCAGGCAGTTGCCTGCCCTGTTGTATGTCTCTCAAATACCAATAAAATTGTCCTCAAGTTTCCTTCTGAATCTGTTTTAAAATTCTTGACTACTGAGACAAAGGGCCCGTGTTCTGTGGTAACAGAAAGGCAATGGAGGACCATTGTAGTAATCATCAGATAATAACAGACCAGACGAATGAAGAAGTATTGAATGCTAGATTTGTAGGGAAAACAGAGTAAACCAGAACACCAGGCAAAGCAGGTAGAAATGGGGAGACCTCCCCATCCCCCTGCTGTGGACCCACAAATGAGAGAAAAGGAAAAAAAGAAGTAAAAAACGCAGAAACAAAATCTTGGAAGACCCCCAAGCTGCATGAAACAGTTGACATGAAATTACCTAGTGCAGGCCACCCTATTTCCTTACCTACATAACACTGAGGCAAGGAGGGGGCAGGTACTGAGAGAGACCACAGTCAAATTGCTCTGCCAAGAAGAGGTAAGGGAAGAGCTTCAGATATGGAAGTCTATACAGGGAAAGTGTGACCATTGAGCATACACTGAAGGGAGCTGAGGGCGTTGTGACAGCCTGAAACTGCACTACTCACTGAGGGCTGGGAAATTCCAGAGGGAGGACTGACCCCTGCTGATGCCTGGGCACAGGGTCCACCCAACAGGTAACCAGTTTGGTCTCTACTGAGAGTTGTATATTAACCAGTCTGGTCTAACAGGCTTGATCTGGAGACCCAAACTGCAGGTCTCTCTCAACAGCAATCCAGAAGACATTTCATGGAGGGAGGGGAGACATCCAATGTCCATGTCAACAAGGAAGATTAGTGACTGGTTAAACACAAACACACACACACACACACACACACACACACACGTGCACACATTGGCTTTTGTTTTTTAAATTCTTCATTGGTACATGAATTTTTCTTAACTGTTTCCATTTTTACATTGCTTTTGTTAAAGTTTTGTGTTTCTGAACTTGTATTTTTGTGTTCTCTCTGTTTCTCACTCCTACTATAATGGAAATGGTAAGTAGGAACTTTGGAGCAGAAAGAGCTCCTAGACAAGAGATAAGACAGGGGAGATAAGCTGGAGTCTTCTCCCCCACCTCCTGTGGCTACTCAGAATAGAAGTCCTTTGTTCTCCAAAGTTTACAAAACTCTGAGATGAGAGAGAGGTATGGGGGAGGTGGGCAGGAGTCTCCCCCATCCTGCCCCCTATGGTTGACCTGGGTGGAAGTCTTTGTTTTCCAAATTTTTATACTGTAACCCTTGTGGCCATGCATTACCTTGCTTAATTATCACATGTACCTTTTACTTAGTTGTCACCTATGTACTGTTTTGTCTTTTATTTGTTCTTCCTCACATGAATATAAAAATCCCTAAAACTAGAGGGGTGTTTATGGCTCCTTTATGGAAGGATCCGTGGGTCAGTCTGGTAGCGTAAAATTAAATCCCTCTCCTCACCTGACTTTGGCTGCTGGTCTCTGATTTTCCTGTAACATTTCTGGAGGCCCCAGTGAGATTAAGTCCCCATACCCTTGTTGGTTAGAGGGGATGCCTCTCCTGGGCCCTGCAGCCCCCGACAGCCCCTGGAACAAAGAAGTGTACACCCCCAAAGAATTCCCTCTCCAGGGTCTCCTTCCAGGAGGCCAGAAAGAGCTGCAAAGCCCTGGACTGGAGCTTCTCATCAAGTGAAGCAAGACCAAGACCAGAGTGGACGTCAAGTCCAGGTAAAAGGTCCCGGGGTAGACAAACAGGAGGCAGTGTGGGCTGATCACCCATAGGAGGTTGCATACAAAGTCCTGACGTGATGCCAGGGTGGCACTGACCTCCAACAAGGCAAGAAACTGGGTCACAACTGAACCTCAAAGTGATTCCAAGGTCCTGGCCCCACTTTAGGCAGAACAGGAATTTAGTGGGAATAACTAGGGAACAACTGTCTTAAACTCTGAATGAGTGTGTGTGAATGTGAAAGTGAAAGTAATGGTTCCACCACTCTGTGCAACTATGGAATCTGAGTGGGCCTTATCCTGTGGTTCCACTGAGGTTGTGTACCCTAAACAGGCACTCACCTTTGGGTGGCCAAGCATGGGGATTATACTTGTGGACCTAAGGTGAGACCTCTTAAGTCACTGAGAGGTGGCCGGCCATCAAGGCATCTTAATGAGGGAGAGACTAGTGCTCTCCACCCCCTCCTGTGCACACATTACACATATCCCAGGCACATATAAAATTTCAAATGGGTTCTTCCCAGTCTAAGTGTCAGACCCAGACTGTCCTCCAGGTGATACCGGACAACTTTAAGCTAGGCTATGCAGGAGATTACGGCACCAAAACGAAACCCTGCAGATTAAGAACCTTCTGTGAAGTTGAATGGCCTTCTTTTGACATGGAATGGCCAGCAGGTGGCATGCTAGACCTGCCCACCTTCAAGAGAATGAGAAAAGTCCACCTCAACAGCCCAGGACACCCTGATCAGTTCCCTTACATAGACTCTTGGTACAGACTGGCACTTTATACACCTGACTGGCTCAGATACCAAGCCCTCCAGAGGTCCCCAGTTCCTGCTGTCCTGGCCACCCACAAGTCTGCATTAACTGAGAGGTCCCCTGGCCTTCCCACCCACCAAGGACATGAACAGGACTCCAAACTCCTCCCATACTTGTCGCCTGTGAACTCCAACTTGGAAAGCCACATTCCAGCTGCTGACCTTGTACAGCCTGGAATTCCTTGAGCTAAAACTGTCCCACCAGAGACGCAAAAAACCCTCAATGAACAAACACCAGGCAGGTTCACCAGAACTGAGACAGTCCTACACTCTAATTGCCACCAGCCTTTACTGGAGGCCCAGTCACTTTGTCCTCACAAGCATCACCACCATTAGGCTCACTGCCTCCACTACCTGAAAAATGGGGGCGTTCTCCTAATTCAGGTCACCTCACTACAGGCCCCATACCTCTCTGCTCAGCCAGGCTCCAGGGCCATCCATCCTTCAAGAAGATGGGACCGTACTTGCTGGTCCCCCAAGCCTGATATGCCAACCATTAACAATGACTGACCTCCTCAACTGGTGTGAACACACACCACCTTATTCAGAAAACCCTCAGGCCATGATTGATCTGCTGAATTCCATCATGCAAATACACCAATCCACCTGGAATGATTGCAGCCAACTCCTCAGCACCTTGTTTGACTCAGAGGAAGGGAGGTGCATTCTCCAGGTGGCCAGGACAAGGCTCGTCAGCCAGGCCCCTGAAGGGTCATTAAATCCAGAATGTTTTGCTGACACTGCTTTCCCAGATGAACAACCTAATTGGAGCCCCAATACCCAGGAGGGGACTCGGGTTCTTGATTATCTGTGGTGCTGTCCTTGAAGGAGCTCAAGCAGGGCCCCATGGAGCTACCCACCTAACTTGAGCAAACGAAGTTATCTAAGGAGAGTAGACACCCAGTCAGTTTTATGAGGGACTCTGTGATGCCAATCCCCACTTTACTCCCTTTGATTGAGAGGCCCCAGAAAACTGTTCAATGGTCAACACTGCTTTCGTCCAGTTGTCAGCTTATGATGTGCACCAGAAGCTGCAGAGATTGGTGGGGTTTGCTGGAACGAATGTAAGTCAGCTTCTTGACATCACGTCTAAGGTGGTGGCTAATTGAGAAAAGGAAAAATGTCAAGAGAAAAAGGCCAGAATCATGGCTGTGGCCCTCCAGGAAGTGGGAAACCCAAGGAAGACCCGGTCCAAACTTGAGGGAGGAAAACGCCTAAAATCCCTGGAGAAAGACCAATGTGCATATTGCAAAAAGAAAGGACACTGGAAAAAGGAATGCCCTGAGAAGGAAGATGAAACAAGAGATCCTGAAAGAGGACACCATAGGCAAAAGGCACTCAGACCTGCGGTGGTAGCAGTCTCCCAGCAGCAGCAGCAGCTTACTGCTAACATTGAGAATGCTTCTAGGGGCTCCGAATCAGATTGAAGGCAACCGGGCTCAATTAAAATCAGCATCTGTGAGCCTGTGGTCAGAGTCAACTTAGG